AAAAAATTTTCCGCCTATTTGACTGGTTAACTTTACCAATGTGGTAAACGCAACGCAGTCATGTCGTTGTCTGCAGCATGCCCAAAAATCACGGTAACAACCACTTGTCGCGTTCAATGGTTAATATGATTCGTAAGTTCAAAATGTAGGTTTCAAGTAATAACAATGTTAATCCTTTACCAGTTCTTCGATTCTGTCATGAATGTGCGCTTTTCTGAAATAGGCAACTGTTCAGCTCATTACTGAATAACCAATCATCTCCACTGCCGAGGTATCCTATTGTGTTACGTGGTAAGGCAACTCGGAGCCTCCAGGGAGCTTATATCAATTGCCATTCTAAAGCGCAGTAAGTTACACTCGGAATCACTGAGACGCGGTAGGCGTGGCTGCTCACATCAGTTAAACGTGGGGTTGGCTGTGATTGAGGCATTTTCATTCTGAGACAATTGTGGTCATGTCTTTGTCCAACACAGAACAAGATGACAGTTGTCTCAAACTGAAATATCCCACGAGTAACCCATTCCATGCCATGTTCAAATGCCACGCCTACTCCGTCTCAGGGATAAGGAGTGTAAGTATTAGCAGGGCGCTCATCCGGATTTAGCGTGGTTCTTAAGAGTATTACATCGAAATTCGAGACATCGTGGTTACTGAGCAACATTATTGAACTTCAGCATTATTTCAATCTACTTGAAACCCAGCCGATGTCTGGCGCAAAAGAATGTCCGGACAGTCCAGTGGAACTGAGCGGCCGGAAGAGAAGGCGAACGATGGGAAAATTGATTCCATCGATCTCTTAACAATTCATCCCTTTTGGAGCAGCCACTAAGATTCTGCGGCTCAAAACATGTGGACTATACTGTATGGGGTGTGCTGCACTTGACAGGACGAATTTGAGAGTAACCGAAGGTTCAGCGAGTTGAGGGAAGCCTTTCGAATAGCCTGCTATAAGCGCGATGTCGCCTGTCTACACAACGCGGGTACGCGTTCCTAGAGGAAATCGCTCCTTCTAAACGCAGGAGACGACCACTTTCGGAAGTGGCGTCGTTTTTGATTTGTCATGATTCAGTGAAAACATTTTTGCTCTCCAGATGATTATTTTTAGCTTTACAAGCTTTCCATGATTAATTTATTTTGTTACCGCGATTCTTGGCCGCACTGTAGTAGTATAGTTGATATCTTCGCAATCAATCGGGGCGGTGTCAGCAGGAGTGAGTCCGCCCCGGCTGCATTTCTGAACCAATAATGATCGGTTACCGATCGGTTCAGGAAGAAAACAAACAATAGCAGAAACCACTACGGTTGGGCTCATTCCACGCCCCTCGACACAGTCCCGACTGACCGCGACTTTAAACTGTAATTGTAAATGTAAATGTACAACTGTGAAACTGTAAATGTACTAGAGCGACGAACATGTAACAGTTCCTTCGGAAAGGATGTTGAGGAGGAAGGGAAGGGCGGGCGTCGCAACGAAACCCTACAGTATCACAAGTTACGGAGCCTTACGTGCTGAGCCGTAGTAGCTGATGCAACCTGTCAAGGAAAGAATTTACGGCGCAGTTCAGCTTAAGAGGAGGATACCTTGGTACTCAACGAAGCCTGTACAAGCCCTCTTGTGGGGAACTGTAAATTCTTGTAACCAAAGTGGTTCACTTGTACCCCATCATGAGACCTTTTCCTCAAAACGAACTAGCGAAAGTGCAGAATGCCCCTCCCAAGCCAAAGCAGAATCTGGTGACTCCCGAAAAGTAGATGACCTGGAGGCAAAGCCGAATAATAGAAAGGGTGAGCAGTACTGTAGAAGAGTGCACAGAGCGAAAGAGCAAACAAGAACCACAGCTACAAATGGTCCTCGGGTGCTGTTAAATATTTGAAAATTTGGAAACGGGGAAAGCTGAAATCAAGGTCCCGACCATCATCCATGAGAGAGGTCGTTTCAAAATGCTTTCACATATCGCTGTGCATCGTTAAATGAACCATCCGTACAGAGCAAATATTCAAATATGAGCATACAGAGCCATCACGGGGCCCAATATGAAACAGAAAAACGTAAAATTCAAACAGTCCATAAAAACTTCAGAAACGAAATATTAATCGAATTTATTTCAGAGCGCTCATGACACGATAGAACACCGCAACTAAATTTCTCAGGAATGACGTAGAATATTCATAACCGGTTCACAAACGTTAGAGGAGCTGATGATCAGGGAGGCGGATGACAAGAGAACAACAGGCGATAGACGGATAGAAGAATCGATACATCAATCACCAATCAATAAATAACTGACAAACACAAAATCATTGGGGAAACAAACGAGAATGAAAAAACAACAACATCTAACTATGAGGCAACAACTGTGACCATTGATTCTGACATCATTAGAGGGATAGAACATGAAATTAAAAAAAAATATTGGGTACGTTCATAACTACACGCCGTTCATGTTCACGAATTTTTTATTCGCGTAGAATGGCATTTTTTCACTATATTTTCATAAAGCGTTCTTCTCTGCTCAGCCGTTGAAAATCCTTGTCAACATTCATGATCCTCATACTAAGCTTTCAACTGTACCATCCCTCGTCCCAACGAATTCCTTAAGTGGACCTAAATGACTTCCTCATTCGTCCTACTCTGGTATGGCCGGCTAACTACCCGAAGTTGGCTAGGACGACCCCCGAACGACGTGCACTGGCCCCAGCCTAGCCAACTAATCGAAGTTGTTAGGCTAGGGCCAGTGCACGTCGTACGGGGATCGTATTTGATCGCTGCAAGGAGGGGGCTCGTATTCGCCTCTAGAGAAAAATGTTTAAAGCTGTCGACTTTTTCCCGTTTTCCCTGTTTCTAGTGGCGATGTATTTCCCCTTTTCCGCCGTCTACGGCAAATTTTCTGGGAACAAAAAGGAATTTTCAAAAAAAGCTCCGGATAGGTGCTAGGAGGTTAGGAAAATAGGAACATGGTAGG